ATGTCCTATTAACTGTATTCGATGTGATTATTAAGCATAACAACACATGTCAAGACCAAACTAAACTTTATGGTACAGTTCATTAATAAAATACCTCATGTAGCTATTATTGAAAATTTTCAACTTTAGCCCTTTTTCATTTTGGCAATAGTGAATTCTGATAACGATTCCTCCATTCTTGAGTAATCATCAGTTAATGCCTTGGTGAGGTCAGGAATGATTTATAGTTTAGAGAAATAACCTTGCTGCAATACCTGCACATGCAGGGAGAGTGTAGACAGATCCCACAGGTGGGAACAATTAGGAAACTAATATGCACAAAATGAGCATCGCAGTGTTTTCTGTACTGCCTGAAATCATCTTAAAAATAAATTAGAAAGCAGTTGATAGACAATGAGAAAATCAGCTAGACATCCTTCATCTCCATGAAAAACACACTCAGTTCTGGTTTATGCTGAGTGAACGACTATTCCATACATCTCTGGGTCTCATTTTTGTGGAATGAATGTCAGAAAAATATTTCATTAAATAGCACAGACATGTAATCAAATGGTTGATGTTAGGGTAAGTGCTTCCCCAGCCATCTGAGGAGCGGGTGAGATTCCCAGGCCCCTCGACCTCCCTCTCCTCCTAGCCAGCAGCTAGCATATGTCAGAGCTGAGCATTTATTGATTGAAATAATGAGCAAACAAATGAAAGCAGAGAAACTTTTGTTCTAACTCTTCTATTCTCCCTTCTAATACCTGTCTTAGGCACCAAGGCAATATACAATGGCAACATTGTGCCACATAAAACTCTAGTTCAGAGTTAATATTTGACATCTACAAATATTTATGGAATGCCTATTATGTGCCCCATATTAAGTTCAATGATTGTCGGGAAAATATCTAATCAGATATCCTTCCCACTATTATGATGGCTGTTAAGGGATCCAAAAGCACAGACAACAGAAGCTATATCCCCTGGGGAAAATAGAAGCAGAATATTGATTGGCACATACCAGCTACATTTCTATTGATTTGTACATATACATACACACCCAGACACACCCTTAGACATAAATATGCAATTTCTATTCTAATGTGCTCTCCCTTTGTAAAGTGAAGATGATAATAAGGTCCTAGCTTCATGGTCCTGCTGTAAAATACTCCAGAGAAACTGGCTGTCAGGACTGTAGATACTACTGTTCTTGCCCAGCAACCCTGGGAAAGAGCACCCGGGAAATTAACACACTAATTTGCCCGCCATCTTGCCTGAGGTTGTACCTGTGGCTTCAAGATATTCACCCTTTTCCCTCTGCTTTTTCACAGTCCATCCTTGGCTTGGGTCCTTCCTTTTCTGTCTCTCCTGACCTCATGTGGCACTCGCTGTTTCTCACCCAGGGTGGCCACTTTTCATATCCA